GAAGCGGAGGACGGCTATGGCTAACGGGCGAGGACAGTGACCACGGAGAAGAAGAAGAAGAAGAAGAAGAAGAAGAAGAAACAAACCTGGGGGTCCAGTGGGGGAGTGATGGAGTGGCTCGTCGGTGGGGGGCGCGATGGCACGGCTGGCTGGCGGAGGTGACGATGGCGATGATGCACCCCGCGGAGACCTACCTACGATGGCGCAGAAGAAGAAGAAGAAGAAACAAACCTGGGGGTCCAGTGGGGGAGTGATGGAGTGGCTCGTCGGTGGGGGGCGCGATGGCACGGCTGGCTGGCGGAGGTGACGATGGCGATGATGCACCCCGCGGAGACCTACCTACGATGGCGCGGCTGGACCGAGTGATGGCGTGGCTGGCTGGCGGTGGCGAGGATGGCGCTGCTGGCTGTCCGAGGCGACGACGGAGCGGCTGCACAGACTGGAGGTGAGCGGGGTTGAACGCACGATGCATTTTCCCCCGCTGCACGATTCGGTTTCCCGCCAGAAGTGATTCAAAACAGTGGCCGATCTTTGTCGCTGATCTGCAACGATCGGCGGCCAAGATTGGCCACTTTTTGAACTTCGAAAATTGGGGCCTGCAGGACCCGGTTTTGTAATTGCGGGGCAGGGCCCGCCCCCACGAGGCCTCCGCAACACAATTGCGCCGCCAAAAAAAAAAAATTCAAGCCCCAGCGAAAATGCGCTGGGGGCGCCCGGGAGGGAACCGGCCCGGGCCACCGGCCGGTCCAACCGGGAGGACTGTGGATGGGGTAGGGGTCCCCGGTCCATCCGGGGACCAGCCCTGTCTTGCACAATTTTCTGAGGGAGCAATGTTCACTGAAATAAAAACACGGAGAATGACAGAACAGGAAGCCTCTGCTACACTATGCAAGTCAACAAAACTGGCTGATGTAGCGTATGGTAGGAACAAAGAACTCTGCAGGCAGTCAATTACACAGGTAGGGACCGTAGGAATGAAAAAGAATGACAATGCCCCTTGTACATCCCTTGAGAGGTCCTTGTACATCCTTTGAGAGGTTCTGTACATCCCTTGAGCTCTCCCTTTCCTGTTTACTTTGGCTCACTATTATCTTGCTCCTGTTTTGTTTGTATCTCCACAATGCAGGAAGGCTGCATCAAGTATTCCACTCATAGTGAATTCCCTTATAGTGGCTGATTCAGGACTGAATCTCACGTGGCCATCCCAAAGGCAGGTTTCCGGGGTGGTCGCACCTCAGTCCCATGTGATCTTTCCTCCATTGGCCGTAAATGTGACTTTTGTGAATTTCAATGGGAGGTTTTATGCATTTGAGCCCTGCAGCAAGTGCACAGAGGAATGGGTAAGTTGCCCCTTACTGAATATAAGCATCTTTTTGTGGCTGCATTTTAGACTTTTTAGCAGTGGTCAGACATGACCACCATCCGGACATGCGGACAGACAGTCAGACGGTCTGCAGTCCGGTGTCTGGACACCAGACGGTAGGAGGCCTGTCCAGAGGCGGCCAAAACCCCAAAATTGAAATTTTTTAAAAAATGGGGGGCACCCTGGACCTGTTCCTTCAGTCCAGGGCGCCCCTGAAAAATGTTTCTTCATTTTTTGGGGCTGGTATTGGTCCTACAGGGCGCCGGACCGGCCCCTTTTCTAGTTTTTTGTGTGCCGTTAAAGGGCGGAGCTCGGGTCCCCCCCCCCAGTACATTGGGAGGAAACGGTGGGTCGAGGCATGCCAATGTGCCGCCCACCCGGGCACAGAAACACACACACACACACACACACACACACACACACACACACACACACACACACACACACACACACACACACACACACGCATGCATGCACACAGAGGGAGAGGGGGAAAGAGCCTTGTTACCGTTGCACGCACGATAGAGAGAAAGAGGGAGGGAGCGTCACTGGGCAAGCGTCATCGCATGTGCGCGCGCGCGAGAGAGAGAGAGACAGAGAGAGAGAGACAGAGAGAGAGAGAGAGAGAGAGAGAGAGAGAGAGAGAGAGAGAGAGAGAGAGAGAGAGAGAGAGAGAG